TCCTCCCCTTACGGTGGTTGGAGAGGAGGTCACCTCTTTGCTGCTGCTCGCAGCGAGGATAACTTCTATCCTCATTTATGGAGGAAATAAAAAAAAAAAGTCAGGTGTGTCCTCCTCCCCTTACAGTGGTTAGAGAGGAGGTCACCTCTTTGCTGCTGCTTGCAGCGAGGATAACTTCCATCTATATTTCTATACTATACTACGTACATAAGAAAGGAAAGTCAGATCTGTCCTCCTCCCCTTACGTAGGGTGGGGAGGGGGACAGGGGAAAAACTTAGTGGGGTCTGGGGTAAGGTAAGGTAGGGTAAGGGTAGGTGGAGCAGAGTAGTTGAGGCCGCCGCCGTTGTTCCAACTCCTCCGTGATGGAGGGGTTGGATTGTCTCCAGCCTCAACCTGTGTGGAGATGAAGGCTCAGATTAACTCTGTGCACTTCCCATTACCGGGGAGGGTGGGGGGAGAGGATCATCTCTGTTTGTGCTCACCTTGTTGAGGCCTGGAGGTTTGCCTGGAGCGGAGTTTGTGGCGGGGCCTCCGCACCCATCGTTGCTGCAGGTCTTCGGCTAGGATCAGGTTTGTGTTCTGTGGGGATCAGAGGAGCAGCTCAGATCTGTCCTCGATCCCTTACGGGAGGGGTGGGGGGACACAGTGGTTTCTGTTTGTACTCACGTTGGAGATGGCTGGAGGAAGTTTGAGGTCTATGTGGACGGTTTAGAGATTTGAGGAGAATATCCTCATTTACTGTGTATATACGAGAGGAAAATCCCATCTGTCCTCCTCCCCTTATGTGGGGTGGGGAGGGGGACAGGATAAGTCTGACATAAATTTGGCGGGGTTCTGGAGTAGAGTAGGACAACGTAGAGTAGGATAACGTAGAGTAGGATAATGTAGAGTAGGTTAAGTTAGAGTAGGGTAAGGTAGAGTAGGATTGGTGGAGCGGAGGAGTTGAGGTCTCCGCATCCACCGTTCCAACTCCTCCGTGATGGAGGGGTTGGATTGTCTCCAGCCTCAACCTGTGTGGAGATGAAGGCTCAGGTTAACTCTGGGGGGAGAGGATCATCTCTGTTTGTGCTCACCTTGTTGAGGCCTGGAGGAACTGATGTCTATGTGGATAATTTCCAAATTTTGAGGATATCCTCATTAACTTAATGATATATAATTATTATCTTAATGATATATAATAATTATTAATGATATATATTATTATATATATATATATAATTAATTAATATAAGAGAGGAAAGTCATATCTGTCCTCTTCCCCTTATGTGGTGTGGGAAGGGGGACAGGAGATAAATTTGGTGTAGTTCTGGGGTAGAGTAGGGTAAGGTAGTGTAGGATAAGGTACAGTAGGTTAAGGTAGAGTAGGTTAAGGTATAGTATGTTAAGGTATAGTAAGGTAGGTGGAGCGGAGGAGTTGAGGCCTCTGCATCCACCGTTCCAACTCCTCTGTGATGGAGGGGTTGGATTGTCTCCAGCCTCAACCTGTGTGGAGATGAAGGCTCAGGTTAACTGTGTCCACGTTCCGTTACTAGGGACAACAGGGGGATTGTCTCTGTGTGCTCACCTTGGTGAAGGTTGAGGGAGGGCTCCATGGAGCGGAGTAATCTCTGTTGGGGCCTCCGCACCCTTTGTTGTTGCTGCTTTGCAGTGAGGATAATTTCTATCCTCATTTTCTGTGGAGAAAAAAAAAAAGAAAAGCGAGATCTGTCCTGCTCCCCTTATGGTGGTCGGGGAGGAGGACACCTCTTTGCTGCTGCTTGCAGCGAGGATAACTTCTATCCTCATTTAATATGGAAAAAATAAAAGTCAGGTGTGTCCTCCTCCCCATATGGTGGCTGGAGAGGAGGTCACCTCTTTGCTGCTGCTCGCAGCGAGGATAACTTCTATCCTCATTTACTATGGAGAAAAAAAAAGTCAGGTGTGTCCTCCTCCCCTTACAGTGGTTAGAGAGGAGGTCACCTCTTTGCTGCTGCTTGCAGCGAGGATAACTTCCATCTATATTTCTATACTATACTACGTACATAAGAAAGGAAAGTCAGATCTGTCCTCCTCCCCTTACGTAGGGTGGGGAGGGGGACAGGGGAAAAACTTAGTGGGGTCTGGGGTAAGGTAAGG